ATTAGGGATAAGAACCTTACATTCGCGAATTAAGAAGACGCGCATACTCTATATAGATGTCCAATTCTGAGGTTGAACTGAATTAGTTGCCTGTATAATTCCACTGTGAAAGAAATTTTTGGATTTGATTACATTGGTTGTCATTGACAACCAGATGGTGACACTTTTCCTAATGTCGTAATCTTATTCCTATTCCAACAGCAAACTATTCCTAATGACTGTAACTATAACTGATCATTGATGAATTTTCAGTAAGCAGAAAGTAAAGTGATATCATCTTAGACATTTGTATTGCTTCAGTGTAGCACCAACGGTTGCAGCTTTTTTATTTCTGTCATTCAGCATGATGGTTATTTTTTTTATGGAAATAACTTGGGAATTCTGGAAACAAACAAAATATTTGAACTCTGAGCTTTAAAAATCTATGATTTTTTTTTGTGCGATAACGAAACAATTACACTTTGTGTTATTTTCTTATAAGACATGTAAGAAACCTGATTCTGGTCGAATTAATATAACTAGGAATTTCCAAATATTTTGTTAACCTGTATTTTATTTTATAACTGTCGTTGAACAGCCAACCCAATTTTGGGTTTATCATTATTAATCTTCAACACCGTAACCTTGTATTTTTGAACCTAATCCAGAAGACAAGGGAACTTCTGGGTCTAGCATTGGGAGAAATTTGATTTCGTGGTGGACTTTTGGAGGAAATTATCCCGCATTTGAGTTACAAAGAAAGGAAAACCACGAAAACCTCCCATCGTTAGCCTGAGGGTAAGAAAATTGATCCGTCTACCACAGAGGATATTTTATGTCAGCAGAGTGGTCGGTGAGAGCTGGGAGAGAATTCGAATCCACCATTCATCGCTGGGATTCGAACCCAGTTCACTTTATTGGAAATCGAACGCTCCCTCACCTGAGCCACTACGGTGTATATTTTAACCTGTATTGTATATTTGTAATTTTGAAGAATTATATAGGTTCTCATCGTGTTAACGAGTATTAATATGTAACTATATATTTTTTTTCAGATTCGCTGAAAGCATGAATTTCTACTCTCAGACTGGAAATTTAAGAGGAACAGTTTCAGTTAATGAGGAACCAGACTACGAGATGAGTTTATTTGGTGAAAGAATGAGAAGTTTAGGTGAATTTCAAATAATTACATATCATAAAATCCAATTCCCCTTCAAAAATTCTCCATGTTGCTCTTTATAATTACAAATACAGTATCATATTTTCAAATTGTTTGTCACACTTTGAAAATATTCTATCATGGTTCTAAATAAGTTTGTATCAATTTACTTTTTAAAAATTTTCAGGAAACAGTACTACGAGATGAGTTTATTTGGTGAAAGAGTGAGAAGTTTAGGTGAATTTCAAATAATTACATATCATAAAATCCAATTACCCATCACAAATTCTCCATGTTGCTCTTTATAATTACAAATACAGTATCATATTTTCAAATTGTCTGTCACACTTTGAAAATATTCTGTCATGGTTCTAAATAAGTTGTATCACTTTACTTTTTAAAAATTTTCAGGAAACAGCTCCCATATTGCTGGCTGCAACTTCGAGAATTGGCTGGGTTACGTTCCGGAGGTAGTAAAAACATTGTTTTTAAATGGAATTTAAATTATGAAAGATTGATAGTTTAAAAATTAATACTGGCTGGTTTATTTTTTAGAATGGATATGGCTTTCACTTGTTAAAAGCATCAGTTCCAAAAGTAGCCAAAGAGTAAGTTAGTGGCATAAGATTAACAAAAACCTAAGTAGCTTTTTAAGCTGATTTTGACTATCATTTTTTTGCTGTTTTTTTATTTTTCTACATAGAATAAAACTTGGAACTTATCTCTTTCTAAAACAGTTCTAGTTTTATTTCAACGTCAAATCGAAGAGAATATGATGATTTAAAATAAAAATCCTCCTTGGTTGTTACGTGGATAATTATGCCCTTTTTGTCATTTTACTCAAAACAAATTTTTCGATTATTTTCCTTCATTTAAAATACAACATCTCAAAATATTTTAGTTCGAATTACTTGAAATTTTAATTGAATGGTACGACCTAATTTTAGGGTTTATTAGCACTAATGTTCAACTCTGTAGACTTGTAATTTTGAATCCAATCCAGAAGACAAGGGAACTTCTGTATCAAGTATTGGAGGAAATTTGCCTTCGTGGAGAACTTTTTGATAGAACTAAACAACATTTGCCTTACAAGAAAAGGAAAACCATGAAAACCTTCCACGGTTACCCTGATTGCAAGGGGACTCTAACCCTTACCGGTGAGATATTTTACGTCAGCACTGCAGTCGCTGCGAGCCGGGTGCGGAATTCGTATCGACCAGCCATATCTGGGATTCGAACCCGGTTCACCTCATTGGAAGGTGAACACTCTATACCCAGAGCCACCACTGCTCAAGCAAATGTTTTGGAAGATTCTGCCTTGCAAAAGTTTGTCACAAATAGAAATATCATTACTGAAGCTTGTTAGAAATTATGTTCTTTTCGCCCAAGCGAAATTTGTATCGGCCAAAATGATTGTAGCTAACAAAGTTTTTTTTTTAAATACCGCTATAATTTTAAAACAAAGCATTGTAATATAAATATTCTACTGATGAAGCGTGACTTCAAAATAGTCAGCATTAAAGCTACCAAAAAGTTATTGACTTATCCACTTATTTTGGTGGATCCGAATTTTGCACTGGTAAAAATAACGTAATTTCTGAAAGTTTCAAGCATGATCTTTCAAACTATTTTAACGAAAAATTTTCAACAAGGGTAGCGAAATAACTAGTGAAGTGATAATGTAGGCAAATACTTAATTCTTTTTTTAGCCAACGAAAGATATTTGAAAATTTTTCTTTATGTATGGGTAAACTTTTTAAATGTAGGGAGTTTAAAATTACAGTATTTAAAATTACAGTATTTAAAATTTTAATAAATCAAATTTGTTAAAACAAGAATCCAATATAAACAAGCTATATATCTATTCATTCTGTATGATTTTTTGAAAATTTCCTCTAATAATGATATCATTAATATTGTAATTATATTCTGAATAGAAAGATAAAAACACAAAAATAATTAGGCACTACTGATATATTTTTGCTGTTAAATAAATAAAATCTCATTTGCTTTTTATGTATTAAAATACGAAGTTTTGATCTTATTAACTTTTATGAAATAAATTCTATCATTTTAGCATACCTGCGGGTTACCTTATTAATCCCTGTGGAGACATGACTGTAATAAATGATATCGATATCACCGTAAAACCTTTCAGCTCAGTTATTTCAACGCGAAGTTTAGAAGCCAGTTTTTCAGCTGGTAAGTTTTTTTCCTCCCTTTTTTAATTTTTTTGTGGAATCGGACGATAAGATTTATAAATCAGATAGCTTTAACTTTTATAACGCTAAGTTTATATTTGCATCAATTTGGCTAGTGTCTTTTTTTGCCTCCGATTCTCTATTTTGAAACATAAATAGTGGTAAATATATTGTTTTATTAAAATATTTTTTTAGACTGTCGGCTGTTATAAAACTGGTAATCAAAGTATTTCTTTGGCAGTTTATTTGTGGGTGGATTACTTTGTTCAAAATAAAACTATTAAGTTATACTTTGAATTAACATTGATTATATATATGATTAAGCTAACAATAATGAAAGTAAAAGCAAAGTAAGTCTGTCAAATTAGCAACGACTACATTTAAGTTACCGTTTTTTATTTAATTACAACTTGATTCCGATTTTGTACGAATGCTTTTCTGAATCACCCGTACCCAAGGGGTTAAATGTAACATTAAAACATAAATAAAATCTCGTTGCGGCTCCGCGAAACGGCATTAACTGACTTGTTGGATTTTTGAGACATATAACGGTGGAATCTGAGAGGTGGGAGTAAAATTTGGGGGAGAGGGTGTGCACCAAATAGTATGGTCATGAGTGGAAAACCAATCTATTGAACATATGATAAAACCTACGGGGAATTTAACATAATTGAGATTAAACTAGATTAGAATATAATAATATTATCATTTACGGAGGTGTAATAAAATAGAAAATATATGCAACTACCTGTACGACCCAGGCGTACAGGTAGTACCTCTCGTTTTTGGGTTGCTCATCACGCTAAAGTTTCCTATTTATCGTCCCTAGGACCGCGTTGCGGCCCCATCCCATACGTCTGGAAACTTCGTTCGTTGCAGTGGAACTGGACGTCTGAGGCCTTACTTCCCTTTTCCCATCAAGAAACTTTTTTCTTCTTTATTTAAACACGCTGGGCACCTGGGCCGCGAAGCGGCCCCTATCCCTATCGTCATTAAATTACATACAGTAAGGTAAAATCCATTGATTTGGCAAACATTGTGGTAGCCATAAAAAAATCTAGCCGTTTGCTTGTGAAATAATAAAACAATGAAAAAATTTAAAATGTCAAATTGACGTTTTTACATAACACTAGAAATATTGATTGTAGACTTAAATTAAAAGTGAAGATAAAAACATAATTTGATCTGTACAGTAATTGATTTTTGA